GGCGAGTGGCACCGCTATCAAGTCAGTACGCATATCCATGAGTGTGTGTCGTGGGGAGGTGTGGGCGTGGTATTTTTCTTCTTTTTTTAGGGGATTCGGAAGCGGCCCAGGTTGGAAGCGCTGGCTGACATGGTTAGTACTTGTTGAGTGGTGCAATGAGATTCAACTAGAACAGTGGGTGAGCGCGTGAAACTCTATGGTCGTCCCAATCCAGGCCTGTCATAGATCAGATTCGAGTGAGAGACTCAGTTTGGGGGTAGAATTCACCGGCAGAATGCCAAGACAGGCCCGATGTTCTCTCCCACTTTGATTGTGGGTGCAAGTGTCGGATTTCTGTGCTTATATATATATATATAATTCTGGGACCACAAATCACACAACCCCCTGTTTCCTTCAGCTGTAAGGCATTTGTGGGATACACGACCCGGAAAAAAACGCAAGACGCAAAGGTCATGGCAATGCCAGCCTCCTGCTGATTATAGTCCTTTGTTTCGTAGTGAGCCATTACAGGAGGATTCATAAGCTACATAGGATTACAGCTTTTTGCAGCGTCAAAAACCATAAAACAAAGCTCAAACGATCTCCAAAACACTTCTCGATAAGTGTCGGAACCTGCAGCTGGTCAGGACTCCTGCCTCCATGGTCAGGGCACAGGGGCTTAGTTGACAGGGTCTTTGTATGCTGGTGGGAGAGATGGGTCTCCTGCGGACAGAATTTCAGCTCCGCATCACGAGATGGGCCTGTCCTTAGGGCAAAGCAGACCGGACTTTCCACAACTTTTTTCTGTTGAAACGATGTACCATGGGGCCCTGCATTTTCTCTCATTCGCTTCGACAGCCCATTTGTTCTTGAAGCTCTTCAGGTAACTTTGCAGAACATCCACATTTTTGCGCAAAAATAAGTTCATCCCACTGCAGGAGCCCCTAAAATAAGAGTGGGAACTTGCAGGCTGGGACTCATATAAACCTAGCAGAAGGTGCTATTTCAAGAAGCGGAAGTTGAACAGGTGAACCTGGTGCAAAGGAACACCGCCCTCATTAAATGGTCGGAGAATGCGTTCGTAAGTCTTGCAGGATTTCATGGGAAGAAGCAGATCCTTCCCAAAACTGACTGAGATTTGCAGGTTTGCAACACACTTGCTCTTGTAGTACCCTGCTACTATAGGAAGAACGATCCTTTTATTCAGGGACATCAGCTTTTGCATCCCCCAAATTCGATCCTTTGCCGGTCTGATAGAGAGGATGAGGTCTTTGCATTTGCGGCCTTTGCGTCAATCCTTGAACTCTTTGATCTCTTTGGATGCCACGGATCGCGCGACAACACATACACACACAAACCTTCCTCCCATCTCCACGAAGCTCAGAACTGTTTGGAACCAGCCGTCCCTTCTTTTCCCAAACCAAGGGGCGGCCCCCTCCACTCACTCTCGCTTCGCCGACCGTCTTGGCGCGCGCGCGCGCTCGCTCCGACCAGGTCGGCCGACCCCTGGAGTTGTTGGTGCACAGGCGCCGGGTGGACGGGGCGCCCGTGTCGGTGGGTGCGGGGTGCGGGTTGGTTCGGGTGGTCGTGTGGGAGGCAGAGGCTGATCCTGGTGGAGAGCAACTGCTGCCTCTTGTGGCACACCGAGACGTTCGAATTCATTTGCTGCATCCAGGCGCGAGGCGTGCGAGGCGTGCGAAGACAGGACGTTGTGGTTCAGTGGGGTCATGTGATGCACTGTGCTGAACATGTTGTGTTCTCATGTGTTCTCTAGATTTCCTCATAATCTGCTCGCAAGACTTTCCCCCAGGTTCACATGGCTATCGAGTTTCAGCCGTTTCTCAACCCATCAAACATGCTAAACACCATCACCCTTCTAATCTTCGCACCTTTTCGGCCACGCCACCCCACTCCGGACCCATCGGACCCGGCACGACGCGGCCCAGCACGACGACACCGGCGCGGCCTTTGGATGTCACGGGGAGCCCGACCCCAGCGGCTCGGAGGAGACGGGGAAGGAGCAGGGAAGGACGGAAGCGATGTTTCGGAGCGGCACGAGGTGGGTGACTTTTGGGGGGAGTCTGTTGAGAGCTCGAAGCTGAGCCTTGAAACGAGAGGGGTTTGATAGGATGTTGCAAGAGAATTAGGTGGCTAGTTAGTTGGAGATCGAAAACAGTAGCCGGCGTTTAGGCACTGTACGGATCGGAATGTCAAACTGTTTGGTTTTGTGTAGGGTTTGCCCTACCTTGAGGTGGGGGTCGGAAGACCAGCCCCTTTGAACCCTCCACAGGGAGATCACATGATGGATGTTGCCTGCGATATACTTTGCCTCTATCATTTCATAGCGGCCCACATTGCTGACAGGTCGATGGTGCAGCCGTCAAGACACTGTCTGACCTGGTTTGGAAGACTCGCCGCGAACGACCTCTCACCGGTTCGTCTTCTGATGGGACCCGAATCCCACCACCGACGCGCCCAACCAGGTCCGCGGGCGGAGGTCCATGGCTCGCATCGCCTGGGGGCCCGAACCGTTGGAACTGCGAAGTTGAAGCGTTCGATGAAGCAACGAAGGAAGGGTGGATCGCCAGGTGTTGTTTGGTTTTGACATTTCGGTTGACTAGAATCTACAGTTTATGTTTGAAGCCTACACCTGATCATATTCAGATTCGGAGAGAAATATCGCCATTTTGTTTGGACTTGTTTTTTGCAAATGCTTTTTTGTGCAAAGCATTGGTGAAATCTCTTTCAGGTCCTTTAAATGCCCCCAAGTGTGCTTGGTTTCTAGCCATTATGAGTCATGGAGCTGTGCCACGGTTTCCTGGCTATACTACCTGAGAACCTGACAACCTGCAGAAAGAACGAGCCATAAACAGTCGAAAAAGGCCGTGCTCTTTCTTCGATCGTGGTAATTGTATATCTCCAACCGCCTATGTTTGAGCGAGATGATTTCATTCGCACGGCTCATTCAAAAGCGTAGATGCTCAAAGAGCCTTTCTTTCACACCAGGCTTGTGAAGCAGGATGGCCATCTAGCTGCTAAGAAAGATGGGCACGAGTGAAAGATGAATGATCCAAGCAATGTGAAATTGCACCATTTGTTGGACAGTTTGCATCTCCTTCTGCAGTTCTAGATCCCAACCAGCATCGTCTTGTGGAAGCAGATATGACAATCATTCGCACTTTCTGTCAGCTTTCCTCCAATTGACATGGTGATCAATAAGACCCGGTAGTTGTAGAGGCAAGTCATCTTCAATCTGCATGGCTTTTGGATTCCATCTTGCTGTACAGTGGACACCCGTGTTTTTACACCACCTCCATGGTCTCGATGGACTCTGCAGTGCTTGGTGTTTGGAGCACCGTGCTCGGCCCGATCGGAAGACTCAAACGAGGTCCGCGGGAAACCTTGGAGGCCGACTGCCGTGGCCGTCGTGACCGGAGGATGATCCCACTTCTGAAAGGGAGCGCTGAAGACGGGAGGAGCGCTGAGTGAAGAGGAAGAAGAATGGAGGTTTAGTCAACACACTCTGCCATCAGTTCCATCAGAGGAACACAACTCGTTCAACTCGTCGTGGCTTTTTGGAGGATTCTTACACTGAAAGTGGTTTCAGGAAGCATCAGCATCCAAGACGCTCTCCCCATCTCTCCCCTCTCTTGTAAGCCAAGCCCATCTGCACCCTTCCATCTCTGAAGCCGAAGAAACCACTCCGCCCCGATCTTCGGAGACCAGAGGATCCGGTCCGCGTGTGCCCGCGCAGGTGCAGTGGATGGGGGACCTGCTCATGACTTGGGCACCTGGGCACGTGAATCCTGCTCTGGAAAAGAAAGATGCTAATATAGCCCCCCAAAGAGAAGGATCAGAAAGGTAAAAGAACTGATTGTACATGTAATATCAATCGCACACATTCAATTGCATCTGCACATCTTGGCACCTTTTCCACCTTTTTCCTTCAATGTGAAGCTGAACGGACACCAGTCAACCGATTGCATCATTCAGCGCCAAGGGCCGGGGCAGCCTAAAGTCCTTGAATGCCAGAAGCTCAGTGCTGTGACTCAACGGTTGGCCGTTTTCCGCCTTGACCATCCATGGGGCCGGTGTTTTAGGCCGAGCTATATGAAGCGGGACGCGTGGCGGGGGACGCGTGGCGGTCGCCGCATCGCGTCACCCCGCTCCGATGCACCGACGCGAAACATGTGCAGGTTTGGACCTTGGATGGCGAGGCCAAAGCCTTTCTGCAGACCGACAGCGCGCTGGTCCAGGCGTGGTCTGGCTACAGATGATGTATGACCATTACATGAATGTCTCAACTGAAGAGATGGGCCCCATGCTGAAGAGATGGTGTGATCAGTACTTCTCGCTCCATGATTCATTTTGAGCTTGGACATGTCTTCCTCTTTGCCTCAAAAAGCTGTTGGCTGGACATGCGGAAAAACACCGGCGAGATATATCACATTACCAACCTAAAACCAACAATCATTCTCGATCCAAACGTGGTTGCAACACGCGTCCAAACGCGGCAGAAACGGTCTCACGCTGCAGGTGGATGTGGCTCGTGTGACCTGGCAATCGGTGTGGAGCTCCGGTGGCCCCCGCATCAAAAAACGTGTCAAAACCCGTTGTCTCCAAGCAGTGACCGGTGGGACATGAGATGAGTTTTTTTGTGGGTTCCAAATGAATTTCTATGTTTGTCCTACATAGTAACTATATAGTCACTATATAGTGACTAGGTGAAAATATTGATATCTCTGTCTTTCTGAGAGATGAATATCTCAAGTGAGCTTGAACACTTGAATCATCCACTTGATATCCACCCATCGGGACATGTCAAATCCATATGAAAGAATCGGTAGCGAACGGGATTGACGAGAGACCTGAGACTCCTCGTCCACCGCCATCTGTCCTTCAGGTGTACGCCTTGGACCACTTCATCCTTTGTGCCTTGGATGCCAGGCGAGGTGAGGGTGTGTGGCCGTGGCCGGTGCCTGGTGCTTTTTGGGTGAAGAAAGCGAACTCAGTTCGGTCTCTCACCCTTCTTCACGTCCGGTTTCAGGCTCGGCTTCGGAAGCGAGCTCCATCCTCGTGCCCGAACGCATGTCCGAGAAAGCGCCGCATGTCCTGGCTCGGTGGACAGCTGAGCGGAGCAGGTCGGTGGTGACGTTCTGGGATTCGAAAGAGAACTTCGCGCCCATCTTCCGCTTCTACTGTGGCTGCGAGGCCAAACACAACGACTCCGAAAAACTGGCGGTTCCGCATTCCGCAAAGAACGGGGGGGTTCCTTCGGATCAGCGCGAGAACATCATGCCACGCGTGGTGCGAGATAGGTCACAGAGCCGGGGTGGGTCTTTCACGCGGAAAAGGATCTAGGAAATAGATCCCGAGAGAGCGAGTCAAAGTTTTTTTGAACAAACTCTTTTGACACAGCAAGATCTGAAGAGGTACAGTTTCCGCGGATAGAGTAGGATCATTCTGCTGAATCATATGGTGACTCATATCTGGTATCCCAAAACTCCTAATGGAGTGAGTGGGTATCCAGGATCTTAGAGTGACTGCTATTTTCGCATCACATGCGAAGCACGTTCAACACATCAAAACACTTCCAAAACTCTGTGCCGTGATCCTTGGACCTTCCAGGAGCCCTTCGACCTGGTTCTGACCCAGGCGAGCGCTGGGGACCGGGAGGGTACGCACCCAGGGCACCAGGAGGTCTAGGAGACCCCAGCCGGAAGGGATGGGTACGTCGTGCACAGAGTCCACACCGGGCCGTAGTCCTTTTAGGGCCTTGGGTGATAGAGGGGAGACCCTGCAGACTGTACAGGCAAGTTCGGTCTATATCGGGCCATGGTACCAAACCGACCCCCCAAATATTCCAAAAACGACATCATTGGTCCACATTCCACATGTTTCTTTTGTGGGGGTGGGTGGTGGATGAGAGAAGATGAGCCCCATGCGGGAGGAGAGTGAGTTGGAGGTCAGAAAAGACTTTGTTCTTAGATGATCGATGAAGAAGGCAGGAGGTATCCTCAACCATGGAACCAGGAAGTGGGTGTAAGAATGGAAGACCACCTCTATAGCAAGGTTTCGGACTTCATGCGATTGGCGGCCATCGCCTCAAGAAGAAAGACACCACGGCTGGGCTTGACGGTTTGAAGGTGTCCTTTTATCTTTGCAGGACTTCATGGTCGTCATCAACGACAACGTCTCTGCCAACCGCCTGGAGCCAAGGTAATTAGCCAGCGATCGGTTCGGCAGGGCTCAGCAAATAGAGCCGCGAGGGGTGGTTGACCTGTGAGGAAAACTTACCTTCCAGTATGTTCGGGATTCCTATCAAGTGGTAGGCGGTAGCTCAGTTAGATTGGGTGTTTCGTTTCACTGGAGATCAGTTTGTCACAGTTTCATACTTTGTCTCCTTCAAGTTCTCCAAGTTTAGCTCCAAGTTCAGCACATAGCACACAGCCCTTCTATACCCTCCACCATGTTCTCCGGGTCGACTCCGTTCGACCAGCTGGGTCTGCACCTGCGCACTAATTGAGGCTGTTCTACAGTTGCTGAGGTCTGGATCTCTGCTTCTGGAAGCTTTGGCTCCATCCAGACTTCGAGGACGCGCACCAATCCGCCGAGAGCCTTGCAGCTCAGAGAAGGGGGACCGATCCGATGGGACTGGGACCATGCGGACCGGGGAGAGGAGTGAGAGACTTTGGAGTCATTCAAGCCAATGGGATGAAGAACATTGAAGCAATTCTGGTGCTTCCTCTCAAGAGTGTCTGAGCCAGAAGCTTAGGGTTCAGGATTCTAGAATCAAGGACTTTGCTGTTCAAGCTTCGAACAGCTCTGCATCGAACAGCTCTTCTGTGCGGTTGAACTGATTGATGTGCAGGCTTTAAGTTTTTAGACGATGTTCGAAGGCTATGGACAACTAAGTGGACCCAAGTTGGTTTCAATGAACTGCCCCCTAATTGTCTCCCAGCCCAGAGGCGTTGCCGAATTGGCTCCCATGCAGGCTCTAGGAAAGTCACGAACAATCCTAGAGGTTTGAGAGGTGTTAGAACCTCTGACCCCCCGAATTCAACGCGACCGACAACCGATTTCGACGCTGCTTGGCTCAGGTCTAGAAGTCCTGAGGAATGAAGCCAAACAGCAGCGTGAGGCGGGAGTTTTGGGGTGTGCCTTGATGCCAAAGAAAGACCCCTTTGAGGCAGACCACACTTCAACCCCAGATTCCTATGGAGTTTTTGCAGGTGTTCCCTTAAACCGATTCTGGGATCATGGAAATCCGAAAGTGAGGAATCGGCTGACATGATTTTCCCCAAGCTCTCTGACAGAAAGCTGCCAAGACCTAGACCCAAATCAGCATCGACGATAGACTTTGCTCCTCGCAATGTCCATGGAACGAGTTCTTACGGAACCACTAAGAACCCTTCACCGGTCGAATTCCTTTGGATGGAGGAAGGATCCATTTCGACCGGGAAGGACCGAAGAAGGACCCTCAATCACCTCTCCAGAGCTGGTCCGGGGCGCCGGACCGACCCGAGGCGTCGCACCGCGGCCGCCCTGCGGGCGCGCGCTTCGCACCACAAGGTGCGGTGCGATGCCGGTGGGGTGGACGGTGTCATCGCCTCCGGAGGAAGTGGTGGGGTGGTAGCCCTTTGTGGCTGTGGAGTTACTGTTGTCTTCGAGGTCCACCGATTTTGGGCTGTCTTTGAACTATAGGCCTATAGGCAAACTGAGTGTGACGAGGTCGCGCTTGGAAGGCTTCAAATTCTCTGGTGATGACCTTGTGGAAGTGACTTGTTCTTGGCTGAACATTCGGGTGGACCACGGAGTGAGATCGTTGCTTTGACCGGCGGCGTAACCGGAGGTATCGAGTGAAGGACTGTGCGGTCCATTGAGGTCCATGCTAGTCTTTGGGAAAAGACGAATGACAACCAGCACCACGGATTCCGGGTGTCCATTAATAGCCCCTTGGAGGTTGGGTGTCCATTAACCACCCCGAATGGGGGTCCTGGAACATGTTTCTCTTCCTTGGACTTTTGTGGAGTGTTGGGAGCCCACGATAGGTACAAGATTCATGGACATTTTTCAATCAGTGGATGCTATGGAATCAAGTGAACTTTGATTGGGGTGTTTCAATCGTGTGACTCTTGGGAAGGTTCTTTGCCAATGGGCCTGAGCGTCCAAAGCCATCCTATTGTGGGTTTCCTTGTCTGCGCTTGCCGCAGCTTTCCCGTCGCCTTTTGAGGTGGAATCCCAGTTCAGGGAGCTGCAGCAGCTTGGACCAAGGAGGGAGAAAGAGAGTGGATGTTTCTGGCGTTTCTTGTTGGATGCTTTTGGATAGTTTGATGGTTGTGCGTGTTTGGGTGGATGGTTTTTGGATGTTGATGAGTTCCAAAAACTTTTGGAGACACAGACATATATAGTTGGGCAGGAAATCAAGCCCTTGGGATTCCTTGGGTCAGGTTTGTTCCTGTTTCCTTGTGATGGTTTGCTTTCTCTTCAAAGGCCCGGCTTTTTCGGCGGGCTTTGTAGCATCCCCCTGGGCGTTTTGTAGTGAAATGTCCAAAGTGTCTGAGACAACTCAGGGGTCCCGATAGAAGAAATCCCTCCCACAAAAATAGCTTGTTGAGTGAAGCTTTTCCAGAACACATGTGGTGTAGATCCTTTTCCACAGCCAGATATTTACTTTCTGATGGTTTCTGGCTTCCTCGGTGGCTGTTGACCAGCGATGTCTCTAAGGCGACAGGGCTTATGGCAGGCTTGGACTTGGCCTGGAACACAGCGGATCAGTGGTCGGAGCATGTCGAAGCACCTGACAGGAACTTTGAGCAAAAAACTGGGTGAAGTCATCCATAGATACTTCCATTCTAGAAGCATGCGAAGCGTACTTTACCCAGCGACATATGTAAATCAGATACCCTCCCTCCATGGGAGTGCCCCCTCCTGGTAGAGGAACATCGTCTTCCAAGGGATGTGATGTGCTTGAATTGCAGCTTGACTTTCGGGGAAAAACAGCTCAGTTGGTGGTATTTTGTGGCAAGCATTCAGGAACATCCTTTTTCCAACAAGTCCACGTCCACGTTCCGCGGACCGTGCACTACACGTGGACCGTGCTTTCCACCAGAGTCACCACTGACCTCCGGCAGTCGCTCGCGTGCTGCCAAAACCCGAGGCCTCTGTCGCTGCGGCGCAGCTCAGTGGCGACACGCTGCAGCGCAGAGCTCAGCGAATCATGTCAAAGGGAATTGCTTCGAGTTATTTGATCATTGTGGACCTGTTGGAGGGTCCGACTTTGAGACCAAATCGTCAGACTTTCGGACATGTCAGTTCGTTCTCCGACCTTTGGGACCAGAACAGCCACACGAGATCAACGAGCGCCTGAGGGGAAGCTGAGGCGTTTTCTTCACAAAGAGCTTCGGCCCAACTGTCGTCCCATCAAGACGCCAGGGGGCCCAGACGGTCGAAGGAGGGACGTGATGCCGGCGACCATTGGGCGCAGACGATGAATTGGGTCGGTTCTGAATGCGCCACACTCAAAAAGGGCGAGCAAGAGAGAGATTACTGGTAGATAGATGTAGGTAGGTGAAGTTCACCTGCTTTTCTTCGGTTTCGGTCTGCACAATCCTTGGGTGTGTCATGTGTCATCTCCGTCCGGCCCGAGGTTAAGCATTCCGGACATCGATACCTACTTCGCCTCGTACAGGCCTGGCAGTGTCGGTTTTTCCACTCGTCTAGCGGCTGACAGACGGACGGGATTAGGTGTATTTGAGAGCCCATGGCCATGAACATGCTGGTAGAATGGTGCCTTATCGGGTTTTGGTGCATGTTCTTTTTTAGGACTCGGCACATGACCCACCGATCACGCAGATCCACAGACGAAACCGAAACTGTTCGTTGTAAGAATGCTAAGGCATTCTTCACACAGACGCATCGCGCACGTTAGTGTCCCTTGGAACCTTCAAAAAGCCCGAGCTGTGAGCATAAGACCTCATCTTTCTCCAACTGGCGACAGTCGCCACTCACCGTCCAAACGTCCGAACGGTCCACTCAGAACTCACCGTAACTGTCCGGTTCGCGTGGCAGCCTCGCGCCAGGAACTTCCTGAACATGTGTTCCTTCCACAAGTCGGGTCAGGTGCCGGCTGCACCCGCGGCGGGCGTCGCGGAACTCGCGCTGGAAGTCTCCGCGCGGAACTCGACGTGTGCGGCGCGTATCGGCACGGGCCGATCGGCCCGGCTGGGAGGAATCGCTCAGTGTCTATCGTTCCTGCTCCCTTCAGCCCTGGCCTTGGAAGTGGAACGAGCACACGATATTTAGCATCATGGAGGCATCACGCAGCGTCGCTTCGATGATTCCAATGTTGGGACAGCCGCTGCATGCTTTAAACACATTCCTTTCAGCTTGTTGATCGTGCTCTCAAGAGGGATCCTAGGTCACTTTGGCTTGCAGGAAAAAGCCGTGGGTCTCGAATGTCGTTGTCGGATTCCGTGGCCTTCCTCAGGAAGAAGGCCTTTTTCCCGCCAGCCAAACACACCAAGTTCGAAGAGTGGTTGCTTGGCATGGGTTCAAAATTCAAGAGGTTGGGAGTGTGGACAACCTAAGCAAACAGGCAATTCGACTGGATACGGCTAAGCAACTTTCCTGTTGCATGCAACATGCAGCTTCAACGGTTCTTTTTTCACACCACCTAGGTGAGGCACCCATGGGTTTTGGGCATGGAAGGTAGATCCTCTTCGACGCATCGAAAAATCTGGAAGTTTATCGAGCTGCGTAGGCGCAGACAGCAATGAATAGCAGCTAAAGCGGACCCAGTGCATCTGAGTGGACCCAGAGAGCTAAACCCGGGGTACCAGCCATAGCGTCTGGCCATACCAAGTGTCATCAAGTGTCTAAGACTTGCGCCACATGCGATGGAGTTGCCAAGGTTGGCCTTGCAGGCAGGTCTGAGCCTGGAAGTGGCGCTTGAATTTCGCATGAATCGTTGAACTGAGCGAAATCGCCACTGGAATTGACGCCTCTAAGTAGCACGCAGTGGTCAAGTCAGTCGAAGTCCCGTCCAAGACAACGCGACTCAATTGCTTTCTTTTGATGGTGGTCTTGTCATGTCTTGGTCTGGCAACAAAAGCAGCTACGACAAGGGAATGATTGATAATTGATCGTGATTCATTCCTGGAGCTGAAGGGTCTCTTGTCGCTTCAGTGTTGACTTACATCCTTTGGCTGTTCGGCGCCAGCGCCAGGCGCTTTGGGTTTTCGGGTCTCTCCGCCGCCGTGTGACACGTTTGCGGCACCTGCGGGAGGTCCACAACGACGGCACCGTGGTGGTTCACGATTTTCGACCGCAACAGGCACCGGTGTTTGAAGGGCACGGTGCGACCACACGGTGTGCGACCACACGGTGGAAGAGGTTCGTGGTTGGTTCGTGAAGCGAACACGACGTCTGGTCCTCTCCTTTTCCCTGCGTCCGGTTTGCCAAGGCTTTTTAGTGTTGGTGAGCAAAAGCATGCAACACCATGCAACACCTATTTGAAAAGCTGCTATCAGTCTATCAGTTTCTTGTCGCGTCTGTTCCTGCCAAGCCCGATGGCCTTTGGGTCCCTTTTCAATGCCTTCGGCGACGTCCAAAACACCACCCGCAGCGGGTGCCTGGCTGCCCCGCTCCCGTGTCCTTCGGCACAGATGGCCTTCGATGAGCTGGTGAGCTGTGTCACAGGCGGGCACCGCACAATCGAGCCGACGCTGGTGGGCCGCGAAGACTGGCAGGGAAGTCGTGGCTGGGGAGAAAGATTGGAGTCATGGCGCAGGGGGGAGATCACGATTGAGCTTTTCTTTGGGAGGGAATGGCTACTTTCTGAACAGGTCCTTGCGTGTGGAAACTAACAGCAGAAACATACAGAAGTTTGTGATCGTTTGTGTTCTGTATTTTGCGGTGTGTATGCATCCTGGACAAAAAAGAGCACGTTTTTTTGGGATTCCTTTTCCATTTACGACGACACCCATGGCAGCAACAACGCAAAGCATCGACCTCTGAGAACTCCGCCGGAACAATGGGAGTTACCGGCGTTGGCATGGGGATGTTCTCGGCTCAGGGGGACATGTGTTAACCCTTTATTGATCTCACAGCCGTTCCAAGGGAATGCTACCTGTATCGATGGGAGAGCTCTACCAAGGGGTTGGGAGGTTGGGAGAGAAGGACTTCCAAGCGTGGGACATGTCCAGTATATCTCTGGGGTCCAGTGGTTCAGTGCCAAAAAGCCCTGGCATGTGGTTCTGCGCATGGCCACGTTGAGTGCTTTTTCCGGGAGGAAGCTTCACGAACGCCAGCGAAGCAGAGACGTCCAAGCAGCAGGGGTTCCCTGGATCTGCGATCGCGCGAACCGTGAGCGACAAAGTGCTTGGGGATGGGTCTAGAACCTGAGTGACCTCTAGTTGGGACCAACCACCCAAAAGATGGTCCTTTCCCATCAAAACAGGGGTCATGTCTGGGCTGTAGGTATGATTATGATGCATTCATATCTAGGGGTGTCTTCTGGATGTTTTCTCGATCATTTTCCAACCAGCCTTGGTGCAAGCCCAATCCCATTGGGGTCGTGCAGCTTCAGTGCGAGGATGGACCCCTGCATGGACCCCGAGGCCCGAGCAGATCCCACAGCGGCAGCGTGGTCTGCCAGCCACATGGGCCGCATTTCAAGGGGATCTCCAACTGCAAAGAGGGGGTGGGATATGGTGGGAGCGCACAAATTGGCTTCAAACAAGTTTTTTTTGGGGGCCAATCTTCCAGCATCAGCATCGCATTCAGATATTTTCCACCTAAAGACTGATTGTAGAGACCGAGCTTGTGCGTAGACGATGTCTGACTGCAAACAACCATTTTCTGCGTGGGCCCTTAGTGGTTCCTGCCAGCTGTGGGTAGCAGCTAGCTAGATCAGCTCTTTTGGAGCGTTTCCACGAACCCCATCGTACAAGAGTTTCCAAGAGTACTCCAAGAGTAACTGGGGTATGGACCACCTCCTGTTGGCACGTTACAAAGGGGTAGACAGGATTCAAATGCCATACAATACCTGTCGATCTCCATTTGCTTGGCACCCTGTGCTCCTCTATGGTTCACCTGAAAGTAGTGTGCATGTGGAGCCAGGGCTTGAGGTGGAAGATGGGTGGTTGAGAGATTCACTTGGTTGGTGAACCTGACCCCCTGGAAAGCTGAGTGCCTCATGGCTCTTGACACAAGTGCATGTAAAAGATTCATCACCAGTGAACCATTCTGTCAAGATCCATCACCAGGACACCTTTTGGGTCAAACTTTGTGCAAATCAAGATTTCTCCAATCCCAACATATCCCAACCACTTGCTTTGCAGACCATATTTAATTCTACATTTCATTTGGGCCCATGTTTGGGGCCAGTGGGCATGTTTGGGGTTGGCAGTTGTAGTTGGGAACATGGAAACGCCGCTAAGCTGCTGCGAGCTCCAGGGCTGTGGCCTCCGTAGGGCCCGACGTGCCTGACGGGCTCAGCGAGGCCGCGGACGGCGCGGACGGAAGGGCAGGCGTCGCGTCGTCGCGTGGTGTGTGTTGAGGTAGATGGACTAAGAGATGGAGACATATTGAGACGACTCGTGTGTGCACCTCATGTCGTCGTTCTCGAAAGCCGGAAGCATTTGGAAGCACCACTGTCGATGGAATCCCCAAGATAACGTGGCTCGGTTGGAAGCAGTTTTGGACCGCAACACACTGTGCCAGTCCATGTGGTGCGAAGGGATACCTCTTCCCAGATGAGGCCTGTTTTTGGATTTTGGGGCTGGGACTTTCGATGAGTATGGCAGTTTTTTGGTTTTGGTCTTTCACTTTCAATGGATGCTCGTTTGCTTCTGTTGTTGGTACCGTGTGTAACTACGTCGCCACACGGGGTTGGGGATGATGTTGCCAGTTGGTCTTGCAAGGTGCCGCAGACCTCGATTTATCTTCTTTCCGGCTTTCTGAGCTCTCGGGTGGAGCCGGCGCACCACCTTAGTTCGATTCCTGGCAGTGCCTTGCAGCTGGCGGCAGCTGGCGGCTGGATGTGAATGCAAGAGGTACACTCTGACGAACACATCACATGGAAGTGGATGGCAGGGTCGTACTCCTTGACGAACAGGGGGGAAACCACTTCCATGTTGGTGAGTCGCAGTGTACATGTCCAACTACCGGTGACAGCGAAGAGGAGGTTCGCTGTGATCCACTTCATGTTCTTCATGTTGGCTGTTGATTTATAACCCCTCCTACCAGATACCGTAGGTGATGTAGGTGACCAACAGGATGTGTTCACCTACACCTAGACGAGGTGGCAACAACATCGAGGGCTTTGTTGAGAGTTCCGCCACCAAAACGCCCATTCGCCATGCTGCGCAGCTGGGTAATGACTCTTTTCCCGTTCGGCGAACGCCAGCGAGAAGAACGGTGTCCACTGGGATGCGAGGAGTGGCGGGGGTTCGACACCGGTGCCAAGGGGGGCCTTCGACAGGCCAACAGGTTGACGTATTGTTGGATGATGTGTGTTCGATGTTACATCCTTGAAGGATGATGCCGTTTTTGGGCAAAAAAGACGTCTGAAGAATCTGGCCCTGTTCCTGTTCAGTACAAGGTTCAACCGTCTGAAGAGAGACTCGGATCCACGCATAAAGACCCAAACTACGAAGAAGGGATGCATGTTTGGTGTGGCCGGGACTAACGACTGATTGCTGGATTGCATAGATCACAGTTTTAACTTGGAGTTTGTCACGCAACAAGTCAACTGGCTCTAGGCCGTGGAGCCTTAGATTCTACAAGCAGTCTCTAGTCCATTGCTGCTTCTTCAGGCATTGCCTTAGCATAGAGGCAGATGCCAGGCTTTTGAACACGCATCAAGCTGCTGTTGCGCTCTCCAGGACTTTTGGATCCTGGATCGATAGGGATGTTCATGGCTTGAACATCTCGCAGTTTTTCCGGGCTCAAAGCACTTGTTGCATTTAGCATTGGTCACATGCCCAGCACGCTTATCCTTCCAGCCATGGTCCACCATGGAAATGAGAGCATCGACTTTTGTCTCATGGGCCATTTTTCATCATGGCACGCTTTTTTTTTCCCATATGGTGGACTTGATGGAGCGTTTCTGAAGACAAGGTTGGGGATCGGAATCTAGAAGTAGGGTAGCTTAATCAAAACATGACAGGCTTTTTGTGGGGAAGCAAGCCGGCAGTGCCTCTACTTCGTTGGCATTTCTTGCCATGCAGTGACCTCAGATGTGGGTGTGGCTCAAAGAGTTGGAAGCAAAGACTTGCTGTGTTGAGACTTTGAGGATTGAAACACTTGAAGCCCTTCCTCTCACTTCTCAGTCACTGCAGTCACTGCGCCACCTGGGCGTTTTGCACCGCGAAGCTTTCGCACCGCGTTTCGCACCTTCATGTTATAAGGTCCACCTTCGAGGTGAAGGTCCATCCGGTCACGAGGCGAGGATCGCGCGGGCGGTACGCTCGGAGGGATCGGCGGCGGGAGGAGTGCCATGGTCGGAGGTGAAAAGAACGCGTGGCAGTCGCCGCTGTGGCAGCATGCGCCTTTGTCCAAACATTTATCAGAAGATCGTGGTAGAGTAACCTCCCTATTTTGTGAGGTGTGGATGAAGCTTGGTTGGTTGGTTGGTTGGTTGGTTGGTTGGTTGTACCTTTGCCCAACATCGATGAACCGGGGAAGCAACGCCTCAAACTAAGAGTCACGTACAGGTTTGTGTTGCCATGGGACAGACCCACCAAACCATTGATCCTTTTTCTCCCGACGTTTGCATTTTCTTTTGGCACGTTCACCCCAGAGGTTGAACATCATGTTCCCCTGATCATCCAGCGCATCGCCTGGCTAGCCTGCTTTGCTCAAGATGCTTCACAGCTCGCAGAGTGCCCCAAGCCCAGCCCGGTCAGATCGACAGTCTCTGAACATTCCGGTCCTTCCCTTTCGTTGGCCCAGACCGCCCGAACGACCCGAACTGACCCGACCGTGCTTCGGTGTATTTTCCTTTCCCCGCGGACAGCAGCCCCTCGCTGCGCGGTGCCCATGCTGCGACGCGTGGTGCCCTGGCAGCGCACCGGGCGCTACTCCAAGGTGTGGCGCGTCGAGCGGCGCGTCGAGCGCTCGCGACCGCGAGCGGCGCGTCCTCGAGGCGAGGGCTCGCGCGAGGCTGGCGGAGCTTTGCGCGGTGGGAGCGGCGAGAATTCGCTGGCAGGTCATCGTTGGAGCGTGGCACCGGGGACACCTCGCAGCCATACCGGCGCGGTGCTTCGCGGTGGCGGCCACGGGGCAAACAGGCGGGACTGGGGTGGAATGGGGGGCCACCAACTGTTCAACTGTAGAGCTTGAGTGAAGAAGAACAGGCACCCCCTCCTCAAAGAACGACAACCCCGCCCTATACCTTCAAAGAGCTACATGCCAATCACATGAGGCCCTCCAACACGCCGCACGCGGTGGTTGTCCTGAACTTGGGGGCTCCTCCGGCACCTGAGAGAAACGCGTCTTCTCCCAGCACCAGGCTCCCTATATGGCAGGGCTTGGCCATGATTGGCCCTATATGGCCCTATATACCGGTCCAGTACCGATCGATCGGGTGCGTGATCGACCTTCCTCCCCATGTGCAGATAGAAGGTCTTCCTTTCCCCATGGCAGATGGCATGAGCAACGGCCAAAACGTACAAGGACCAATTTAGGAAAGAGCGGGGTGGCAAACACCTGCAAAAAGCGATCACTTGCTTGATCATGCCCTGTGGTTTACAGGCCGGACAAGTGTTTCTTGTATTTTTTGAGGGTAGAAATGCCTCAAAACGACCTTTTCAGACCGGTGGTCTAGGGCAGACCAGCGGAAGAGGCCCGGACAATGCGCTACCTAGACCCAGGCGCTGGATCTGGGTCCAACTCTTCCGCCAGTCCTTTTGGCCTGGTCCTCGACCAGAGGTACCGGTGGCCAAAGCTCCGCGCCGAACTCCGCCGCGCCGAAGCCGAGCGCCTGCGCGGCGGAGAAGGACTTCACGAATGCGGCGCTCGCGTTCGAAGCCAAAAGTCGATGTGCCTCGGGTCGTGAGGGTGTTTGAACGGTGGGCAAGGGCAGGAGAAGACCAGGAAGGGGGTTGGATCAGAAGCAATAGATGAGTCAGCTGTTTGGTTGCTGCAACTAGAGGTAAGCATGGTGAGAATTGAGACCTCACATGCAAACACATGCCTCGCTTGGACTAAAGCAGCCCTAGCACCAGGATGTGCTAGTTCATTCATGGAGTGTAGAAAAGCCATGAAAAGGAGTTTCGACTTCCACAGCACCTGGCCACTTACAAGGAAGTCTTGGTCTCCGGCACCTTCCGCAGATCAAGAACTGTTTTTTTTCACACCTTTCCAATGCTGCCGCCAGCATCGCCCTGTTCCTCTGTCTCCAACCAACCATTTGCTGAGGGGAGCTCTTCCGTGCGTGGTGCGTTTTCCAGATCTGCGCCATTGGGCCGATCGTCCGACACTGCGACACCTTGTACATGTACTCTGTGAAGGTTCTGGGTCCCAGGCCCGAACAGCACAGCACTGATGCTGTGCTCTCGGGTGTTCTTTGATTGACTCCTTGAAGCGTAGAAGATGGATTAGTACTGAATTTTGTCAATCAGCATCGAATATTTTTTATGACTTCAAGTGATCAGTGGCAATCCTGTTGCAGGCTCACACATCTTCTTTTGAGGAAGACCTTCTTTGAGCACTTCTGCGCTGGGGAAAGTAGTCAGGACAGCACATGCAAGCCCTGACCAGCTCCTAGCCACAGATATAGTTGCAAAGTGGCTGAAACTGAGAGGAAGAGGTGAGGAGAGACTGGAAAGCACCATGATGGACAAGCCCTGACTAGGACATTTTGCCCAAGATGAGAGAGTTGCAGAAATACAACGTGCTGAGCTGAGTTCAACTGAGCACTCCGTAACTCTGTGGCCAAGCAAGCGTACTTTTATCTGGGAACTCTGATCTTCCCCTGGGGAGAATGTTTTGCGTCCCCACGGTCTAGCTACCAGTTATGCAGCTGTGATTTCCGGTGTGTCTGAGATCAAGAAGGCCTACCCTTACGTCCTTACGCCACTGTAAGCACGTGGCTTTTTGGATGCTGTGAGAGTGGCTTTAATCAGACCGTTCGGAGACCGTTCGGAGACCAGCGAGGTCGGGGGCATTCTGGACTACGCGGCGGAAGCCAAGGACGGTGAACTGCCGGAGACGGTGAAGCCCATCGACGAGGAGGACGGAGGGCAGGGCCTCTTGATGGAGATGTCGCCGTGGGATCCTTTTTTCAAGCTCAGACAGGCCCACCAAAGTGAGATGGGTCCATGAAGATGGTCTTCATCATGAGGTGGACAGCAGGAGTGCCCTTCTCCGAACAAATTCACCGTCTTTTGAGGGCGAAGTGAACGATTTCTCAGGGTCCCGAGCCGCCGCAATCGCTCCGCCCGAGCCGAAGTGCGTCAGGAGACGGTGGGAGCACCGTTGAGCAGCCGAAGCTACGACTACGAGAGCGAGGCGGGTGGGTACCGCAAGAGGGGCCAGTGAAAAACCTGATTCATATGAATTCATCGGTCAGGCTGGGTGGCAGTTGAATTCAACCGTAAAGTCTGCTGGCAGTTTTGGCTCACAATGAATCAGTACATGCTTCGCTGCGGCTGATTTGCCTGTTGGGGGATTAGAAGTTGGTACCCCTCGAAGCACTCGCACCCAGAATGAAACGACTCATCCCGATCTTTTGGTAGGTTTCATATAGATGAATTCAAGATGATTTCAGGATCTTGAAGCATCTTTCAGATGATTCCAGATGGAATTCATCTCAGGATCGTTGATTTGGTTTGATTTGGCTCAGTTTCTCAAAGGCCCGCCCTTCTTTGGGACCCGGGAATTCCTCTCAGGCGCTCTGCGATGCGAGGGCACAGATCTTCCGGGTGGCCGTGCGCGGGGTCAAGGACCCGATAGGGACGAGCAAGCTAAGACGGAGGTCCAACCCAGATGATCCATAAGAAGCCATGACCAAGACACATCTGGGCGCAACCATGACCAAGCACCCAGTTTTGGTCATGGCTTGTTTTGTCTTATTCCATTTTTTTCCTTTTTCTGGATCACTTGTTCCCCAATAGCCATGCTATGGGGTCTTGCAAAACTAATAGGCGGACGGGCGCCGTCGGGTCACCGTCAGAGCTGGTGGGCGGATGGTGTCCCGGTCATGTTTTGATGGCGTCCGGGTCATGTGATGCTGGTGTCCCGGTCATGTTTTGATGGTGTCCCGATCATGTTTTGATTGTGACCCAATCATGTTGTGATGGTGTCCCGGTCATGTTTTGAAGGTGTCCCGGTCATGTTGTGATGTGTCCGGTCATGTTGTGATGGTGTCCCGGGCATGTTTTGATGGTGTCCCGGTCGTGTTGTGACGGTGTCCCGGTCATGTTTTGATGGTGTCCCGATCATGTGATGGTGGCGCGGTCATGTTGTGATGGTGTCCCGATCATGTTTTGATTGTGTCCCAGTCATGTTGTGATGGTGTCCCGGTCCTGTTTTGATGGTGTCCCGGTCATGTTTTGATGGTGTCCCGGTCATGTTGTGATGGTGTCCCGGTCATGTTTTGATGGCGTCCCGGTCGTGTTGTGCCGGTGTCCCGGTCATGTTTTGATGGTGTCCCGGTCCTGTTGTGATGGTGTCCTGGTCATGTTTTGGCGGTGTGCCGGTTATGTTTTGATGGTGTCCGGGTCATGTGACGGTGTCCCGGTCATGTTGTGATGGTGTCCTGGTCATCTTGTGATGGTTTTCCCGTCATGTCATGTTGGTGTCCCGGTCACCTTGTGATGGTGTCCCGGTCATGTTGTGATTGTGTCCCAGTCATGTTGTGACGGTGTCCAGTCATGTTGTGATGGTGTCTCGCTCATGTTGTGACGGTGTCCCGATCATGTTTTGATGGTGTCCCGGTCATGTTGTGATGGTGTCCTGGTCATGTTTTGGCGGTGTGCCGGTTATGTTTTGATGGTGTCCGGGTCATGTGACCGTGTCCCGGTCATGTTGTGATAGTGTCCCGGTCATGTTGTGATGGTGTCCCCGTCATGTCATGCTGGTGTCCCGGTCGTTGTGACGGTGTCTCGGTCATGTTTTGATGGTGCCCTGGTCATTTTGTGATGGTGTCCCGGTTATGTGATGATGGTGTCCAAGGAAGAGATGGTCGATGTGTTGAAAACAGCAGCTGTTTCCAGATTTTTCTTTTTGTCCCGGTTTGTATCTTGCTATTGGGGTCTTCAGCTGGGCTAATTTGGTTGGATGGTTCTAGTGTATATAACTCAAAATGATCTGGATCTGGAATGGTTGATTTCATCAATGGGAAACCATCAGTTGCTGACCAGTGGTCACCAATTCTTATCCCTGAGAGTTTCTTCCTTGGTCAGGACACGATCCCGGATGGCTTTGCAGCAATCAAGCTGTCGGGCTTGGGGTCACTTAGCTGGCGACACATAAGGCTAACTCTTTGGGGGGCTTTTCACCGTGTTGCATGTGAAACATCGACTGTGACCCGTTGGTGAAACAGGCACTTGCAGTCAAGAAGTGAAACATGAGCTTTGGCACCAGCAACAACATGAGCTTGATGGCAGCTGTGCAACTAAGGAATCCGGTGTTGCTCGAGAGGATGTCGACCTGCTTGGCAGAAGTCTGCCGTTTGCTCCTTGGCCACGAGTGATTTTCTTCGGACTGATCATCAGCTCATCACCAGGGCGACCGGGTTGGTGATCCCCAGAACACGTCCAGCAGTAAGCCTGAGGCCGCCAGAGAACCACCAGAACACTCCACTGGAGGTCGCCATCTTCACGTCACGACTGAACGTCGCTCCGTTCGGTTCGCGTCCGAACGCTTGCTCTTCGAGTCGCGATGCCCTTGGTTCCGTTCGTAGCGAACCTTGCTCCTAGGAATCTTGGAGGCTCCAGTGTTCAGAGGCACCGGTCCCTTCGGTGAATGACGCTTTTCTTTCACTGCTCTGGGTGCCTCGAAGCCTAGGACCTAGGACCACAAGGGCAACAAAGGGCATTACTACTAGAAACAAGAAGCTACTAGTAGCAAAGTGCATCGCTGGGAGTTGATGGGAGTTCCGGTTTTCAGGAATCAGGGTGTCATCACCCACACGGTCTCCCCTGCCTTACTGACGACGTTCCTAGAAAAAGACCAGCCATTGCGTAGTTTTCCACTGGCCATCTACATCTATAGCTACAGTAATTTTTCTCCCGACCCTTTTCTGGGTTTCGGTTGCCCTCAAAGAGGAAAAGACCCACGTGGTCTCAGCCATTGACGGTCATTCGTGGTCGACCACGAGGTCCCGCGACCGGTGGGACTCGGTTGCACCACCGCTGTACCCGGGCCCTGGGAGCCGAGGTACAAAAGACTGGCTCACGAGGACATCAACCCCAACGAAAACTACTACGTGACTGGGACCGGTCATGGTGTTCTCAACTGGAGATGTGACCCATGAAATCCTGCTCTTTTTTCTGGAGAGAAAGATGGAGAAGCCGAGATCTTGCAGAACCCATCTTCCAATGGGTGCATCTGAGTGCATCTCAAGTCTTATTGGATTGCCAAGACGTTTTCTTTTTCTTCTAACATCCATTAATAATGTTTGATCCTTTCAGGACAGTTCTCTGGCCGTGTTTGGCGGCCTGCCACTGCGGTTTGTAGGCTTTCTTGGCTTTTGTGGCTTGCGGCTTATCGGTCACTTCGCGTGGCTTTGAACTTTTTGTACGTGGCACGCAGTTGAGAGTCCGAAGTAAATGCAAGCCAATGCAAGAATCCGAAACCAAGAGTTGCAAGTTTCCACTCAGTAGCAGCATATGTTTCTGAGCATTTCAAGAAAGGACACCGAGTTTTTTCGCTGGTCGATGCGTTGCATGGAAGCACCGAGAACTCACTCTCGAGTCCGTCACTCTCGGAAGGCCGTAAAGAGGCCGCAAAGGCCGGTGGAAATGCCTGAACAGCTGTTGATCCCTCTCACCGTTTTCATCAGTTCACCTGCTTCGGTGAACCGAACGCTCAGTTCGTTGATCCTCCCTCTCACCCCAGACGCGTCCCTTTCTTGGGTCGTCCAAACACCCGTCGACTGGACGGGGCGTTTCCGTTAGACGCTCACGCCGAGATGATCGATCGATCCTTCAAGATCGACCTTGAAACCTTCAAGACGGGCTGGCTGAAGATGTTTGAAGGCAAGAGCGAGGAGAGGGGAGAGGTCCACGACCGACGAGTGCGCCGTTTGTGCGCCTGCGTGCGCGTTTGCGCGGAAGGGGGTGTGGTTTGGTTTTGGTTTGGCGTGTGGTGCGCAGCGGGATGCAGATAGGGAGGTGCTCAAGTGGAAGAAATGGTAGGGGTTGTTATTTCATCAAGTCGAGTCAATTTGTAGCAGCTTCATCAGAAGCTTGTTGCAGATACCACCCGACTTTAGACAACGGAAGATAATTTGGAGTTCATTTGTTGGCTCGTGCTGCTGATGCTTGTCTCTTCTAGTGGTGACACGACAGCATCTCAACCCGGCTTCTCTCAGGTTTCCCGTGGATTTCTCTCCTGCAACAAATCAACAAACTTACACCACCAGATGTAAAAATCACACACAATTCCTGGTGACCTGGTGCATTTTCCAGTGCAAACACCTTATGCAAAAATGAATCCAGTGACTGAGTTGTTGTTTTCTTTCTGCCACCTTTTGCTTGTAGTTACTGTAACTGGTTTGCAAGAAATACAGGCCACCATACAAGCAGAGCTCTTGTGGACCACAAGTCCCAAGTGGCTGTGCCTTTGCCTGTGCCGTGCCTTCGAGGACGAGCTGAAGGCCATGTTTGATGCGATGGACGACAACCACGATGGGTCTCTTGGTCCCGGGCTGTCCTCTCGACCGATCGACACCGGCTCCGGCTCTTCGCTCCGGATCACCCTTCAGCGGCCGGGGGGGGGTGGGGGGAAGTGAATGGGGGTTCCCTTTCACGAAGGGAAGATGATCGTTCACGAAGCGATACCTGGTATCATTTGGGACATGGTAGGACATTCGCTTGTTTGGTTGATCCTTTCGATACATGGGTCACCAATCTTGGAAGAAAACACTCCCCAAATCCGTTCCGTGGGTGACCTGGGTTTCGTGGCTCCGCCAAAGACGGGGCCAAGGTCTCCAGGTTTGAAAGGTTAACTCATCGATCTGAACACCTTTACCTGGAGACCTTCAAACTGGAGGGCTTTACTCAAAGATCGGTTGACGGGCCAAGGCCTCTCTCGATCTGAACCACAGTATCTTGGTGCCAAAATTCCTTGTGAGGGCCAGATGGTTAGTCCCCCCCTTTACCCAGACATGTCCCGTGCCTTTTTCTTGCTTCCGTTCACAAAGCAGTGGAACCGCTTCGGAGCTTGGGAGGACGAGCGCCACCGCGTCCGTCTCCGCGTCCGTCTCCACCGCTGAGATACATCAGCTATCTGGAATGGTCCTCGGGCGTGAAGCTGTCGGAAATCAACGAGATGGTCCGTGGCTGCAAGCATCAAGGCCGCGCTCGACCGAGACACCCGCGTGCCGGATGCGCCGCGCCGCACCGGAGAGGTCGGATTCCGAAAATCGGAATCCGTTTCTCCGAATGGTGTGTTTTTAAGGATGAAGGAGCAGGGGTCTTCCAAAAATCGATCCATGCATTTTTGAACCTGCTCCTGGATCTCATGACACTCCCTGATTCAGTCTGGATGCCCCACCCTCAACTAACTTTTTTTTCTTCCTTGCGCTGCACAAGATTCAGGCCGGCTCTTCCAAGCGGCGCTGAATGAAGAAGAGGTGAAGCTCTATCGAATCTTGCGCTGCAAACCGATTCGCCCGGAAGGAGGCAGAGAGGGTATGGCGGGACTGGACTCAAAATCGACTCAAATCGAACTCAAACACATCGACTCAATCGACTTCAGGGGTGCTGGGGCTGTTTTGAAGGACTTTTGGGTCGTTTGAGTGGTTCGGGGATGTTCAGGGGGCTCTACTGGAGCAAAAGAGATGGGATCGGTGGCATCGGTGCTTTTGGTGGAAACTGGAGAGTGCGTTTGAAGCCAAGCAACCGCAGCGCGTTTGAAGGATGGTCGGACGCGAAAATTGTATTTGACACTTTCTGACAGGGGGCGACAAAACCTCCTACCAGCTTTGGAATCTGGCCTCCAGATCTGTCCATTCTTCGATTCGTTCAAGGAAACATGCTGAAGCGTGTGCAGGGCATTCTGGACCTGGCACAGGAGAGGCGACAAATACGGAGGAAAGTCTAAACCACTGGCACCTTTCTTGCGCAGGAGCTGCTTTCTGGGGTCTCCAAGCCAAGCCTCCTCGAAATAAACATGTGTGTGGCCGGAATGGCGGACTTTGAGATATTCCGCGGACTGATAGATGCTAGATATAGAATGATATATATAGACGCGAGATACTGGAGCTCCTGTTTGGAATAGCCAAGTCCACTTCAGGGGGGCAGCTGCGTAACTACATGCGTAGCTTGCTTTTGCCCTTTCAGGAGCTTGGCGTGCGCGTGATGACGCTTGGCTTGAGTGAGAAGGCAATGTCTACGCGTCGGTTGCTGCCCACTGATTACCTGGTAAACTCCTAGACTACCCAACAGAGTGCTTCGTTCTTCCATGCCTTCTCTGCACGATGCACTCGATACGCTCCGATGCTAGAAGCACATGGTTTCTTTGGGCATCAGGTTTAAGCACGGCTGCGCAGGTGTCACCAGGACTCTTCGGGAATGATTCTGGAGACCCCTTGCTTCTCGCATCCCTTCGGACCGTGACGCCGCCGCCGCCGCTGCGTGGATCGACCCGCCTTCGGGGCGGTGGTGAAAACCGAGGATCGACGCCGAGTGGACGGACATCCAGCCGGCGATCGACCACATCACGATCTTCATGCAGAGGTGGGAGGTGACCGAGGTGACCGAGGTGATCGAGGTGACCGAGGTGACCGAGGTTTCTTTTTGTCCCCCTTCTACTGCGTGTGTGTCGCAGTGCCTGATTTAGCCTGATTTAGCAAACACCCCCCCAGGAATCCCCATCAAGAAGCAACTGGAAGTCTACTGATACTGTGGTTTGCTGCATAGGACTCAGACCAGGTATAGGTACTGGTAGCTCGGCTGACAGGTTTTGGTGAAGAGCCGTGATTCTGTCGTAACCCACAGATCCCGCCGGTTCTTGATACCTGAGGATTTACAACAAGGGCGAGTTGCCCATCGTGACTTGAAAGCAGGAGTCTCTCTCCACAGTCGTGGTGGGGATGACTCCCAATTTGGGGTCTAAAGTGATGCGCATGTCCTTCTTTGGCTGGGCCATTCGTGCTTTGTTTCTCGTTCTTCTGGCTGGAGCCCAGCCATTGGCTCAGAAATATGAAGTGGAGAGCACACCATTGGTCACCGGTCCCAAGAGACCCAAGGGACTGCAGGGACTGGTATCCCTCGTCTAAGGTGTTCAACACGTACCAGACCTATTTGAAGGCACGTGGGGGCTCACTGCCTGGCGCTGGCGGTGGCTGAAGGGCTGAAGGGCGGCACCGAGAGGGAGAGATGCCTCTAACAGATCGATCGTGAAGGAGCTCCCCACGGATAAGGAACAAATACTAGCATACCATGGGGCCCTCTAGTTCTCGGGCCGTCCGTTAGTCATGTCTTGGAGCCCTTCTATATATTTCTATTTACTGTACTTGCATCGCCTTCTCTATCCTTCTCTGCTCCATCTGGATGCCCGGCCCTTTCCTTTCAGGCACCTCGACGGCGCACCTCTTCCCACGACCTCGACTCCCACGACCCGACCCGAGAACGGCCTCGACTCTCGTGTCCGACCGCGACGACCAGGGGATGCCCACACGTGTTCAGCGCGACCTGGATCGATCCAGGCGCCGACGGGGGTCGAAGCTCTGCTCTCCGCTGTCGGCGAGGGGCACTGTTCATGGGGCGATGACCCGGGGTTCCCGTAAGCAATTGGCGGGCGGCCCTAGGACCAGCAGCTGGAGCTATTGGGGGACGTAACAATCCCGCTTGTTGCCAGCGAAACCTGAAGGGATTCAGAGCTCGCGAAACCTGCAGGTGTCCTTCTCTCCTAAGAATGCCTGGCACTTGGCTTCCCCAATCCTTCCTGAAGCGAACGAGCATGCATGAGCAAGGACGCTACTAGCGGCTCCATGAGTACCTCGTTACACTTTTCCCAGAAGAATCCATAGCCGCCCACGTGCATGGCCGGGAAGCACGAGTTCCACTCCACTCGACCCGGAGGACACCATGAATTCCCATCCCACCCGGACGGACGGACCCGTCCCGGTTCGCTGGTGAACTCGCTCGACCCGTTCGTCCACTTCGTTGGGGCCCGTCCGGACGTAGGGAGGGTGGGGCCGATCCAATGGATTTGAAGCTGGACCCCCCCGAGAAAACGTGGAGTCTGGCAACAACGTACATGCAAATGCTCACGTCAAACGGTAGTAGTCAACAGGCTCTGTCTCAGGTGTTTGATCTCCATCAGAACAGGTCAATTGCTCCAGTAGGGAGCGTTGAGTCTGACAGTCCAACAGGTATGAGACAAACTGTCAAGATGGGATAGTTTCCGTGGAACAACACCCTCAAATCCCAGGGACAACTGTTTGAGAGGGGGTGTACTTGGTAGGCTTTCCCTAGGTCAAATTCAGCTTACAGTTGCGCCAGCCGGACTGATCCCTAGCAACATATCATACAAGTGGTATGCGCTTACAGCAGTGTAAGGGGACCTCAAAGGATACCCGCGGCGGTTTCGCATATGAAATGGAGAGGCTCAACTTGGCCTGCAGGGATCTACCACCGGGATCTTAATAAGGCACCGAACCGAGAACTTCTCAACTCGGCAACTGTTTTCGACGCCGCGCAAGAGCCATCCTCTTCTCTCACCTCCCAGGCGAGAGGGATGGCGCTTCGGTGCTAAGCTGGTGCGAGGGGCGTGCCTGGGCGTGAGACGAGCGTGCGGACGAGGGTATTCATGCTTTCCCCAGCGTGTGTATATGGGGGATACGTCGGCACCTGGAGCCCCATCAGGCGAGGTACAGTAGCGACTGACCGACTTCCCAGGTAGGTCGTGCCCGGTTGCTATCCTGGTGCCATGATCCACAGCCATGTGTGTGCTTTTGGCATGCGGAGAAGAAGAAACCCTGAGGCAAGGGATTCTTTGGGAGAACAATCTAGTATTTATTTGCAACCGTTCTTCCATTGGCTTGCCCGGAAAGTGTCAGGATTGATACGAGATTTTTAATGCACAGAGCATCCAATGTTTTGGTGGTTTGTCTGGTTGGTTGGTTTCAGACTTGCAGCCGAAGTCTTTGTTTCCTCCTTCCTGGCTGGTTGGTGGGCCTTGTATTACGAGTTCGATCGAATATCCATTGGCTTGTGAATTTAATTGTCCATCTAACGAGGATAGGTGCCATCTCCGCCATTCCATTTTCTTGTCTTTCTTCGGCATCCAGAAGGTACATGGTCTCTGAGCGACAGAAAGCCTCCCAGCGTGGATTGGAGTCGCCCATCTGCGCAGCTTGGCGCAAGCAGCGCAGTGCGCACATCGTCCGAATCCTTTTTTCGACCAATGGGGGAGGGACATATCCTTCAGCACCAGATCTGGACGAACATCGCTAGAGGTTGGGAATTGGATTCAGTGGACCTCCAACGTTCTATTTTCACCTCTTTCATCAAGGTGAAACAGTTTGGATGCCCCAGGAACATACTATGGTTGATGAGGACATGAAGAGATCTTGCGAGGAGCTGCATCCAAAGCCCCGAAGTCACCGGAATGGGCCTCCGCCGGAGGAACTTCGTCCGCGGCCAGTGGTCGTGGCGTAGCGTCGGCGTGTCGCCTAGGAGACCTACGAGGAGACCGAGGAGAACTTCCACCAAGCCATCGATTGCATCCTGGCCCATGGAGAGGACAAGACGGAGGTCCAGCGGCGTGGTGTGTGGATAGGCAATCAAGAGCTTCCTATATTTTGAGAGGTTGTGTGCGGAACTGTTAAGAGAGCCGCATGGCGAAGGCGGCAATTATGATCTGTCAGTGAAAAGTCACAAAGTCAGGAGTTTCTCGCTGCCTTTCAATGATCTTTCACACAAAGGGTGACGCAATCATGGAAGAGTTACCAAGTAAAACACAACCTTATTTTGTATCATTTTGCTTTCATGTTCGCAAGCCTGGGCAGGCCTCTCCTGGAGGTGCTGCGGCCGAGGCAGAGAGAAGGGCGCCAGATGACGGACCAGGATGAAATAGCGGCATGCTATCCCCCTACTGCCACATACGGATGGGTCAGAGCCAGGAGCCCTGGTCTAGGTCAACCAAAGTATCCCAGTTTGGACCCACAGCCATATGAGGATTGGACAGAATCTATGTTTGGTTCAGAACAAAAAGAGGTTCCGGGGTCCCGGAGCTATCTCCGAAAAGCCCTGACCATCCCCCCAAAAGCGCTCCTTGGAACTCTCAGAGGTTTGCATCACAGAGCAAATCCACAGAGCAAATCTCAAGGATTCCGTGACAAGGACGATCAGGTCCAAAAACACCAACGCAGTGACGTGACCGTCTGCGTCACCCGCCGGAGACGTCCGTCCTCTCGCGACGGTTCGCCTCCTCCTCCTCCGTCGTGTCTCCGAGACGTTCGCTCCATCGAGGTGCTGGTGGCCTCCCACAATCGGCACTCGGTGGAGCGAACCATCCAGAAGATGACTGAGATGGGTGTGGCCCAGGAGACGGGGCCGACGACCCGGTGACAACCGCACGGACTTGTCCTGGTATACCACGTGTCGGGTCTCCAAACAGCCGATGGCCAGGAGGGTCCTGGTAGATGAGTCAAGATGTTGGATGTACTAGTTTGATGCGATCCAGTATGCGATCTATAGTCTTTATGAATTTATGAGTCAAGATGTTGATCTTTGGATCTGTAGGGCTTTCGGTTGATCCCGATCATTGGCTCTTTCTGCGGCTCTCTCTGCAGCCTAAGAAATCCCACAACGCTCAAGAGTGGAAGAATTCCAGGATGGTCCAAGAATGTCAAAGAAATCCGGTTTGAAGAGCGTTCTTTCAGATGGGTCTCGACCATCCACAGGTGCGACATATATATTATATTTAATATAATGTAATATTATTATTAGTACACATATTTTGGGGACCCAGGGGTGTGTTTGACTTCCTGAGGGTGTCACTGTTCCTGGATTACAATGTCAATCGAGAAAATCTTGTTCTCGTTTTGCTTGGGAGCTTTTCTCTCCACTAGCCCTCCAAACCAACAGCAACTAGCCCTCCGCTGTCCCAACTAAAAGCTATATAACTTTTTCACATTTTTTCACATGTTCAGTGCAGTCTCTTGAACACCTGAATACCGACCCTGCCCACTACATATTGCCTTTGGATGCCGGTGTCTTCCGTACACCGCCGCCACAGCCGACCGAACAGTCGCGAGGATCGGGTGGGCTTCGGTCAGCTCATGGGCATGGCGGACCATCTCACCTACACGTCACCTGGCCGGAGCTGAAGCCAGACTCAACGGTCGAACGGTCTGACGGAAGAGGATGGAACAGCAGCAGATAGGACCTGGATGTGTGGCTTAGCTAGCCAACAGTAGGTCTAGTAGGTGTGGAATTGGTGGAACGAGGGATGATCACGCTTTGGAGAGAGGAATCCAGTCATAACAATCACGTCTTGGTCCAATATCCCTTTCAACATATTCTTCCGCTCCTATGCTCCACTTTATCTCTTCGCAAATCCCTTTGCTTGGCATGGTGGACCTGGCTAGATTCGGCAACAGATGACCTGGCTGGCACGAGTCTCACTTGAACACACCAGCAAGCCGCACCCCCCAAGGACACGCGATGCAAACACAGGTTGACTGGCCCAAATTCACCTGCTCACCTGGCGGAAGGGTCAAAACTTGAGCTGCTTCAAGGACATCCAGAAGATTTGCTCCTTTCCTTTTGCACACCTATAACCAAAGTCGCTGTGCCCATCTTTGCCAGCCAAACGGCGGGCCGTTCGTAGCCTTCACGTCCAAGGCTGGCGCGCTACGGGTACAGGCGCACGAGCCGTCGTCTCGACTCTCGACTCGACTCGAGCCGTCGAGACAGGGGTGTCTAATGGAAACCCATAAGTAGTGCAGGGGCTTTGGAAGCCAGGTGACCCTGGTTTTGGAAAGTGTTGGGGGACGTGCAAACTGGTTTTGGACATGGGTCGGTTCTCCATGTCCCGTTTGGGTTTTATCGCGCTGCTTTGAAAGGCTAGACGTCCCGTCAAAAAGGAGCCTTTCCATCCCAAGTGCCGACTGCGGCACGGTCTGAGGGTGAGGTCTCGAGTAAAATCGCTCGCGCCAGGTCCTACAAGTATGTCCCTTATGGACCAGTGGATGAAGTGGTGCCCTATCTCATTCGACGCACACAGGCCAGTGAAACTGGGTGACCATGCGTTCAGGGGGGTCGGGGGTCTCGGGGATGAATGGGATCGCAGATGACAGCCAGCGAGTTCCATGGGCAAGATCGTGTCACAAGTTGCTTGCAACTAGAATCACGTGCGGAATCAGACTGATGCCAATTACAAAAGCACCTTTAGCCCAAAAAGGAGCAAACATACTGGCCACAATCCACCAGACAAGGTGCTGAGAGACCAGGTTCATGCTAGGACGTGGAAAGGCGTCACTTGCTCTCCCGCACGTACGTAGGGGAGACAGCGAGCTTGACTTTCACTCGACCCACACCCACCGACTCGCGAAGCGGAAGTGGGAACCCCCGACGTCTTCCTTTCGGGGCCATGCGGTGTTCGTCGGAGTGTATCCTACCTGAAATCCTGTTGCAGCTGTTTGCTGATTGCTACTAGGACTTTGCATAGTTGAAGAACCTGCCATGACCTTCCTAGCCATGGACATCTTTCTAAGCACTGGAAGTCTTTCACTTCTGGCTCACCAAAAGTAAAGTGGGTGTACTGTACATCAAAGGTACACTTTCCGGCTAGAATAGATCTGGTTCCTGGATGTATGTGGCTTCGTGGATGCGGTTTCAGCCGGAATCATGTGAAATCGACTACACTGACATCAATTCTTATTCTTACAATGAAGTATTTGCGGGTACTTGTCGACAAGTCCGGGTGTCTTCCTGGTGTCCTGCTTCTGTGTCTTCTCTGTCTTGAAGAGTGCTTCTACGACGTAGTTTCCAAGCGAGCCCCCCAAATTGGGGCCATTCAAGAAGGAATTTAAACAATTTGTTTCTAATAGCTAACATTGTTACCTACTAGTAAGGCACTTGTTACGAACGAAGCGATTGCACTTGTTCCTAGTAGGGAGGCACTTGTTTCCAGGAACCGTGGCACCACGACCGAGTGCACCGACCCGAGTTCCGTGACGCGGTCCGCTCCAACGGTCCGGGCTCGGCGCGCGCTTCGCCAGGAGAATTCTTCAATTCTGGGATCACCAAGTGTACAGGAAGAAAGGCACGCAGTGGTTTTTGGGAGGTTTTGCCGGTTTTCGACTTCGAGGGGTGTGGCCAGGTGTGGCGGTATTGCGAAGGTCCGAGCATGGCTAAGGCTAAGAGCAAGATCGGACAGTGGGCGGGTGGGTTTCGGAATTTTGGTGGAGGTTCCAAGCAGAATGACCCTTGTGAATCAAACCATGATTCTGAAATTCTTCCAGTTTGCGAATGGCAAGAGACTTGCTTTGCTGGATCGGGGACACTGAAAGAATGATCCACTGTGATGAGATCACTCGGTTTTTGGAACAATCATGTAAACTTCCCACATGAAAGAGAAAAACCAGCACTCCTTCTTCCACGAACATGGCAAAAAGATGGGTGCTTGCTTCACAAAAGACTCTAGTTCTGAATGAGGCTCTCCCAAATGGCCTTTTTCATCGTTCCACCACCAGACCGGAGGGACGCCGGGGACGCGCGAGGCAAATGCTCGGCCGCGAGCTGCTACGACGCCTACGGCCGATCGCCTAGGTGCGAACTCCGGAGTTCTGAGGTGTTTTGTTGTTTTTTGGATTACCTTTGAGCCAAGAATCGAGTGGTTAACATGATTTTTGGCAAAAGTAGCATTAGATGGCAAGCTTTTGCATGTGACTTGGAAAGGATTTTTGGGGCAGTTCTGGCCGGATGGCTTGAATGCAAGGATCTGTTTGTACGGATCGTGCTGTGCGCCGCTGCGCCAGCAAATTTGGATGATTTTGTCCGGATCGTTGTCAGACCCATCGTGTGTCTTTTTCTTGCAGGAGAGCGTGTGGAGAGCTCAGTGGAACCGGCCCATGAGTTTCTTTTCTGTCTAAAAGGGACGATGGCAACACATGGCTGGAGGGGCCGTTTGCGCCTTTTTTCTGAGCATTTTGCTGGGTCTGCTGCTTTGAAGAGCTGCTCACTATACTTTTCTTGCGCTCCAAACATCGTTTGCTGCAATCAGTTCAGTCTACGACATCACCAACGGGAGAGGATCCTCAAAGTAGCAGACCCTGTTTTGCAGAAATTCGGTGGTCTTTCCACTTTGCTATTGTGGTTGGTTTGAGTGTGCGAAAGGCATTTTTCCAAGTCTTTCCTCATGACAACAGATGCCAAGTGGAATGTCCAATATACCATAAATAGAACTAGATGCACCTGGTTTCCAGGTAAGTCTAGATTTTCAAGAGCATGTCCATCAGTGTACGTTCCGTGACGTTTCCAAAGCAGGAAACTGGCACAAGTTGTGTGCCGCGGTTGCGTGCGCAGCTCTTTCAAGAGACTTCTGCCCAGCAGGCGGTTGCACAGTTAACCACCTGCAGGGCTGTTGCCTCTCGACAACAAAATGAAACTCATCTTGGTCATCGAGGGCTGGTGATACGGTAATTATACATATATATATATATGTATATATGTCATTCTCTGGTGATCACCTGGTGATCTCCGGAGACCCATCGGGCTGGTGATGGGTCGGTTTCCGAACTCGTTCGACCAGTCCACCGAACCCGAGAACGCCGGGGCGAGAACGGCGTGGGTCGAAGGGAAAGGAAACACCAAGAGAGAACAAGCGAAAGGAAGAGGGTGATTGGTGGTAGAGATGCACTAGCTCTTGATCCGCTTTTTAGTGGAACGACCTCGGAAGCTGGACATGGCCTTGCCAACGGTGATTGACATACAGTACACACATACAGACACACTCCGGCAGGTTTTGGCATCCCTTTCTTTTCACCAGGGCATGTAAAAAGGAGCATGTGAAGGAACTCTCTCTCTGATTCCATTCGATGGGACCTCTAGGCGACTGGCCCGAAACTTCGATGGTCTTTTTCCTGATCGAGACTTGCAGAAGGACGCTGCAACCCGTCGCGGCTTCAGCAGCGCTCGCTTTCCAAGGTGACGCCACGGTTTCTTTTCGGGCGCGCGCCAGTGCGGCATGGGCGCAGCAAGGGGTTATTTTTCGGTGCTTTTCTCTTTTTGTTCCAGGGCAATTTTTGGCACCTCCAAGCTAGAACTGAGAGGACTTGCTCGAATGAAAGAATTCACCCAGGAATTATGTTCAGGGTTTGGACTAACCAGGTGAGACAGGTACTGTACCTTTCTTTGTCCCCAGTTTTCTCAGAGGGATTCTCTTTATATATCTTTATGAAGGGATTTGAGAGTGTCTGATCTCATCAAAGTTCTTTTGGAGGGCCTGCACAGCTGGTGATTACACCAGCTAAATGGCAGCCATGTGCTGCAGCTTTGGGTCTTTTCCGTCCCTTAAAATTCAGAATATTCAGATCGACAGCCGAATCGACTGAGAAAGACACCCCGTGGCTCGCGAACATGCCGTTGCCAGGAGCCGCACGTGGTGGTGACTCTGGTGCGCTGGGGTTGGACACCGCGTGGTTCTTCTCGTGGACACCGCGGCTGTTTCCGGTCCTGGGAGGGGGGGAGGGTTGGGCTTCCGCAGGTGTAGAAGAATCTGAAAGGAGCTGAAAAAGTATCTGGGGACCACGAACCCAGACACGCAAGTTCTTCAGAAAAATTCTAATTCTTGAAGAACTGGCTCGTGACACGCAAGTTCTGAAGAGACCCCAAAGGCGGAAGATCCCCGAAAGGACAGACTTACCAAAGGTGCAAGACCATCCAAACGTGTGGTCTCGCCGGCTCAGCGCCGCCACTGTCGCGGTCACGCCAAGCCTTTTGCTCAGACCTGCCGGTGGGATTTAGGGACCCAGCCTAGTGTCCCTTCCCAATTCCCTGAGGAGCCTTGGAGGAGTGTGGAGGAGTGTGGAGGGGTGTGGATGATCCAAAAGTTTCTGCTGTGGTGGTGAGGTTCTTGCAAGTTGCTGCTCTGGGTTGTTGGAGTTTGGCGTGGACATTCCAATCTGTTGTCCAGGCGATTATGGTTTAGACTGAGTTTCTGCTAAGATAGCTCAAACTTTGAATCCCTGGTGCGCTTTTGTGAGAGGTGGCATGAAAGAGAGAAAGCAGGGGGTGGGCCTGCGATTTTCGAGACTGCGAAAGGCCCACGTTCGAGTATTTGCCTCACCTGTGTCAGTGGAGGTTCACCCCGACCTAGAGGGATGTAAGAGATGTACCATGCTTAGGGAGATGAGTGTGAGGATTCAACATAGTTCACCCCCATCCACTATTTGACGCAATGATTCTTACCCACATGGACCCCATGTTCCACTTACAGAACAGATTTGGAGTCTAGAACCTTTATAGGACCTATCATTTAGCATAGTTTCTATGTCTAGTAGACATCATACCCATGACTTGAAGATGCCTTTGACCAGCACTGTTGATTTATGAGGGTTTTTAAGCGCCAAGAGAGCTGTGTGACACATCTCCATGTGGCCTTTCAAAATCAGTCTACCTTGCTCCCCATCCTTGCTCGCCTGAGGCTTCTCAGAGATGCCACCAGTCTCTTTGTCCCTGGCCGAGGCCCCCCATCACCTGACTGGCGGGCTGGATCAACCCCGAAGGAAGTGGACGTTTGGTGGTGCCGGGAAACCTCCACACCCAGGAAGAGTTCAATTCAGATCACTTGAAGCACCCACGGAATGGACCAAATAGGACTAAGTAATAGATACAAAGACATTACTTCTTCGGGTGACCTACAAAGACCACTTTGTTTAACAGAGGATTGAGAGTAGATGGCACAGACCCCCAGTTTGGTGGTGCAATGATGGACCCCAGCTGTCTAAGACATCTACTGCTCAGTCTGTGCCTAGTTACTACCTCTGAAACCACTGTACCCAAAAAAGTTTCTTTTCACAAAACTATGACTGGACCTATACGAGATAATTCTTTTTAATTGTTTTTTCTGGACTGGCAGGGATTTGTTCTTTTCTCCGTGGCTGGCGAGTGGATGGAGTGATAGATGAGTCGCTGAAAAGGATCAGGTGGAAGAGCGACCTTGTGCACATTGGGAAGATTTACACTGTTTTCAGTGTTATTTTTTTCCAGATGGGGAGGTCTGACATCAGCCACGTGCTGTCTAGAGTGAGCAGTTTGATTCAGTTTGATGTTGACATGTCCAATGTACTTTCTTTTTTGTGAGGCACCTGTCTTGACGGTGAGTGTAAGAGCCGCATAGAAGGTGACGCAGGATGCAACGCGACGGATATATGGCCAACTCCACAGAAGCAGAAGGCTCATGCACCCTCCACATGGCACATCGCAACACATGGCACAAAATAGAAGTCGAAGCAACCAGTCTTGGATCTCACGATCCACAGGGATTTCACGATCTGAACGCTTCCGAGGCCCTGGGTGTGCCCCAGCCGAGCCAGGTGGGGTGGGACGAAGACCGGTCTGACCGGGTGTTCAACATGAACGAACGGGTGTTCAATCGAATTCTTCCAAGAATCATTCCAAAACATAACAAACTTGGAGCCAAACTAGGAATTATCATTCCAAGAATCTGGTATGGTTGTGTCGAAAAGGACGTCGTTGTCTGGGAGGACTCCTCATCACCAATTGGTTTCAATCATCTAGGTCTATGATGACACGGGATGACTTCGTCTACTCTTAGAAGCACTTCGGAAGAACAAGCGACCCCACCGGTCCACGAGCTCCTCCATGACTTCGGGGGCAGCGGACCAGTTCCGACCGGGTGACCGAGTGCCCGGGCGGCACCCGTTTGGGTGGGTTGTTTCACTGGGTGAAGCAAGGAGAGGCCGTCGCGGGTGACAACCTTGGTAGTCATGGGACTACCACATGAGCAAGGGGCTCCCGCTGCACTTGCACTTGCGCACTTGGCACCAAACAGTGACGTGCTTTCTTCATGCGTCGATATATCTTGGAGGTGCAGGTACATGGGAGAGACCCTCAGGTGGATCGCTCGCAGGAAATTGACCCTGGGTCACATCCCGCAACTCAGCAGAGTAGATGGCACAGCCCCCTACATGTCTTTTAGATGGGAGTCCATATAAACAACATTAAACAACCAAACTTGGGGGTTGTGCCATCTATCTACTCTGAAACTACTGTAGATCACGGCCCCAAACCGTGGGAAGAACACCTGCCAGTCCGTCCGCGGAGCGTCCGCGGAGCGTCCGCCGCGCCCGCCGAGGCGTCACCGACGTCCAAGATGAGTCTCAATTTGGTGGAGAGCTGAGATGATCCAGATTGAGGGAAGACCAAAGAACTGAACCCATACCCTTACCCTTGGCCCTAATACAGGTGCTATAGGGCTAATGTTTTATGGTTGTTTACCTTTTTTTGTTTTGGGTCCTTCCATGGTTTGTTACTGTGAGAGTCTATGGTGAATTGGATGGATATCGATGCAGAGACAGCTGATGAAGAAGGGATGGACTGAGATCTGGAAGGCTGATGATTTGATCGCTTCGGACGAGGCGCTTTGTGCCAAGACACCCAGGATGTTCGACCATTCACACGGCAGGTGGAACGGACCATGTCTGCGTTCTTGAGCACGGACACCAGAGACCTGCAGCTTCTGCTCTTCTGACGAGCTCTGCAATCCTTGGAAGTGACCAGACCCCTGTAGCTACACCAATACTACACTAGGAGATGTCGGGACCTTAAGCAGGTGAAGCAGAAGCAAGGGCCACACACACACGCCGTTTTTCGGGGTGCCGTGGGGATAGCTTTGGAGATGGAAATGGATCATGATAGCGGACATCCCCAGTCTCCATCTCCATCTGATAGACTGGTGATGTATGATAGCTTTGATGGAGATTGTCCAGCAGAAAGTTCCCCAGTCTTTCATACATCACCAGTCTCCCCAGTCGCTCCAATCACCGCCTCCCCCGTCTCGGTCGATGAACACCGAGGAATCTGCACTAACACCGTTGTCGATGGAGCCGCAAAAGGCTGGCCAGGGTTGGGGATGTGGGATTGACACTAACGTGGAAGTAGACGGCATTGCCCCTTGGAAGACCATGAAATCCTCTACAAATGGGGGGGTGTTCCACTTCCATGTTTTGGGTGGTCG